GAGGCGTTTCCCTAGTTTTCGGTTTCAGAACGGGTTAAGTTTAGTGTCTTCTCGGGTCAGAATTCTCAGCAACATATCTACTACGGTTCAACGCTTCCAATTATCAGTGAAAATAGATCGAGTTCTAATGATTGATTCTCGCTCAGCGAAAGGAGCTCCACAGGAGCCGGTTGTAGTTCAGCCCTAGTATCTTTCACTCGCTGCGCCACATGGTGATATTAGAAATGTCTATCTACCTGCAGTAATCTTATACTATATATATGACACGGGCCGAACTCAGCATTCCTCCAGTGACCAACTCGGTCGATGGACAGCCTCTACGTATGCTTTGTCTTTATTTCCCAAAGAACGTGCAGGCACACATACGACGAAGAATAAAGCTTCGATGTTAAAGCGGTGTGGCGAATGCATCCACAATATCCAGCTGTCCAAATTGTTGTCATTAAACAGTCCATGGTGTTCTCGCAATCATGCGCCTTTTGTTTCACCCTCTTTTAACTTGTAGTCATGATTATGTAGTCCTTCGAGTACCCTCATTCCTTCATCGGTTAATTCTGGTTTACCGAGAGGCGTTACGGCGCCAGTGAAGAACCGCGGTTGCCATGTGTCGTTCATCTTCTGACGTTCAGCGGCCCTTTGTCGCTGGCGTTCCTCTATATCCTGCTTGAGTTTGGTTGCCTGGTTATATTTTTTGTCCAAGATAGCCTCAGTGACCGCCGACCAAAACTTTCGAGATTCGTTGGAGAGCTGCTCCTCGTCGGGCGGTAAGGTCTTTGTAACCGGAAAGAGAGGAGCGATGTCAATCAATAAGCTCGCCTCGTTCGAGCCATTCAAAGTGTAGAATAGTTGCCCGTGCCACGAGCCGCTGATCTTGGCGAGGATATCCCCATGAGGTACGTCTTTGATCCTTGTAATAGTATCGCTGTCAGGGTCATAGCGAAAGATGACACCCTCAACTCTGTTCTGAGCACGGCCAATCCAACCCTCTTCCAAATACTGTAGAATGACCTTAATGCGCGTGTGAGCGCAAGTGATATAACACGTATCCGAGACTGTAACGGCCAGAGCACCTCTTAACAATCCACCTAGATGTGCAGCGGGATGAGTCAACTGATACTCCTCGTTGTTCCTGCTCTGAAGATTGATGAATATTCCCAAGTTGTGCTGGCCCGGAGTGACTCGTATGCTGGTCCCTGTAAACTTGGCACTAATTTGATCAAAGCCACGAGCTGTCACTCCTCGCACTGGACAGTCGATGTAGAATGCTGATACTGGAGGATGATGAGATGTTTGTTCCGTCAAGTAGCATACCTTGACGGGTTTGCCATCGCTTTCCTTCGAGCTGGGAGTCGCATCTAGGATACTGGAAGTGGAAGCCGGCGATACTTCTGGAAGTGTACTTTGCACGTCCCAAGTACACTGAGAAGGATTCTAGGTTAGCATAAAAGCGAAGGGCTCAAATTGCGTCGGTTCGGGCTCACCCTGAAGAATTCTCCGAGTGTGGAATTATAGGGTTTGCAGGGCTTACCCTTGATGTATTTCTGTAATCAAATTTAGTGACACGGTTTGACACCAAGCTGAGCAGCAACTGAGAATGGCACACACATACCAAGTCCTTGGTAAACCAAAACCTCAAAACCTCAAGCATCCGTCCCAGAGGATCGTCCGACTGCCCGATGCTGTTCATATTCTGTCAGAAAACAAGCCCCAGTGATGGGTAACCCAATCCGCTGACCTTGCAAAAGCCTCCGGTCTATCCAAGTAATTCCAGTACTCTGCAGTCATTCGCAAGAAGTTAACGAGAATTTCAGCCGCGAAGGGGGGTTTTAGCCGTCTGGCTAGAATAACGACTTACCCAAGTTGGGCGTCGGCTCCAGAAGATGTGCAGGCAAGGAGAAGCGGACGGAGGCGATGTCAGCCACTCCGACAAACCTAGAGGACGAGGTCACTAGTCAGTACCATCAGATTTAGGGGGTGGATGTGGCTTGAATACTTTCGAAGTATGGACAAGAACGTCTTAAGCTTGGATGAATCATCTGGTGTCTTTTCAAATGTAGAGGATGTGGCGGACATGTTGAAGGGGAGGTTGCAGGGACCTCAGGTTGGGCTGAACTGCGAAATATGAGGTATTTTGAGAAGGCTATAGTATATGCGTGATTCGATAGGTGAGGCTAAGACAGAGAGAAAGAAAATAGGCGTGTATAAAGCAAGTGCGAAAGAGGTAATGGAAGCTGGTTTGTCCCTTCGTCCACTGACCCCCCAAAAGTGCTGCGATCAAGTCTCGAGAACTCGAGTAATATTTGTAAAAAAAGGAAGACAGCAGAGCCAGGGGCAAGAGCTTCTTGTGAGCGGGACAAGCACAAAAGGACCAGCCAGGAGGAGACAAAAAGAGAGAGTCGATGCCAGCACGGTCTAATGATAATAAACCCCTTTGTACCGGGATTTCTCAGGACAATCGCCGAGGGCGGGCGCGCACTGGACTCCAGGCGGTGACGTTCTTATACTAATAAGGGAGGGCGCGGGGGGGGGAGGGGGGCAACCTCCGGCGGTCAGTCCATACGTCACTGTTAAGAATTCGATAAGAACCTATTATTCTTATATAATCAAAAATGATAGCCTTGCTTGGTCTACAATAATGTACGCACTGGAATTGAAATTTGAAATGATCAACTTCAAGACTTGATTCCCGGGTTCACAACAGCTTCTCAATGACTTGCTTGCGGGCTAGGAGTTGGAGCCATGTGCGGATGGCAGGACTATAGTCAAAGCGCCGACCTTCCGCGTAGTCATCATCAGCCTGCCTAGACTGTTGTTCTTCCCGAACGGACGCTTGTAGCGTGCGCTGGATGTCAGTGAGCTTGTGCCATAGGGATTCGAGGTCCGCCACTGCACAAGTCCGGTACTCCTGCTCCTGCGGTGCAGGAATGATTGCTCGATCGATCATGTCTCTGGAGAGTGTATAGGACTCATCGGCTCCCAAGAGGATACTCCCGAGTTTAACAGCATCGAATGGCAACGCATCAGCAGCTGATGTCAAACGTTGGTCAATCAATTCGAGGGACTTCACGTTCATTGCTAATTTGTCAAGCAGTCCAGGGAGCGGATCCTGACCAAGACTCAACATTGAAAACTCGATTTGGCCTTCTTCGTATTCTTTCATTCGTGTGAGAATGCTGGGCTTGGCTAGGGTCAACCAGTCATCGTCGGGTTGACAAGGTCCTATGCGTGGACACCGTTAGAATGGGCTGCCATGGGCCACGGGCACCATACCAAGCACTTGCGGTTGACGTTCCAACCCGTCGAATTTCCAGACTTTCCCTAACGCAGCGACATAGGCGATGAAATGGAAAGCCATGTCGTCGTCCTCCTGCTCGCATTGGGTGCGAGATTGCTTTGATGTTGTCTCGGACTTGAGCTGGTGATCAGCATTGAGTATATCCATTCGTCTTTGTCCAAACGTTAGAAAGACCACTGTAGAGAAGGCAGGCTACAAAACATGGCTACCTCGCAAACGAATTGTGTACCCGTTTGATGAATCCATAGTTACTGACTGCATCACCTCGGAGCGCCGGCGTGAAGGGCATAGTGAACTCTTTGAAGTGTTGCAGATTCTCCCCGAGGTCAATATCTCCAACATTGTTGATGATATTCAGAAGAGCAACAGTGGCACAGGCGTTACTCGCCGTCTATGTCTATGGTTAGTGCTCATAAATCTGGCTACTGGCATCAAGCAAGTTGGAACAGGCAGACCTGATTTGCGAACCAGAGCCCTTCTGGACAACTTGCTTCTTGTTTGTCGGGGTCGTCCTCCCGCCAGCGGGACAAGAATATCAATCCGTAGACCGGCTTGCTGTCAAACTAGTTAACCGCCCGTAGATCATGCAATGCGTGGATCACAAGTCTCTCACTTTAGCATCGCCATCATATCCTCATCCAAGGATACTACCTCCTGAACCTTCACCCCCTTTACGCCGAACTCGCGAAGCATAACATTGAAGAGCGCCTAAAAAGGTTATTCGGCATGCGGCATAGCCCCTGGAGAATTGGGTCCCAGAACTTACAGGTTCGGACTCTAGTTCGCAGAAACCATTCCAGTCGTCTTTCTCGATCCGGGAGGTAAGCACGCAGAGCTCATGACTAGGGTCACTGCACTCTTTGCCTGAAGATTGCGTTCTCCTGCCGCAATGGGCCATGGTTGTTGCTTCAAAGGTCGTATTGTACTGAAGAAAAATGTCGATCGCTCAACCATGCTAAGCGGTGAGAACAGTTCCCTAGGTTGCTGCTTGAGATACATGGAGAAATTGTCTGGCTTAAATGAGATACATTGAATTAACAGCCCAGGCGCGGTAATGGTTGCTGCTGTCCTTCGCAGAAGGTAGGAATCATGAGCCGCTGAACAAACCCTTGATATGGATGCTGCACAGTACTGTACATACATACATTACCGCCAACTTACGATGATCGTGCCAATCAGGCTCCTCTCCAGATAGCCAAGATAGAAGGAGATGACTGTATTCTCAATCATGCAGAAGCATGCGGCCTTACAGCCGAGTATCTCTTGGTAAAGGTGTAATGGGCAGTACTTGTTATCCGTTGGTGCTATTAATGTTGCAGCGAGGGCAGCGAGGGGGCACCACCTGGCAGTGACGACTTCATGTCCAGGCAGATCGTGGTAGGAAGTGGACTAGTACCGTAACAATACATATCCGCTGGCGTGGAGCAAATTACGTACTGTGCTGTTGACCGCCAACCCATTGTTGCTTCAAGCCCTGCAACAAGCGCCAAAGCATTCCATTCACTCAAGCTCACCTCTCGGCTTGTCTCAAGATCTTGCGCTGCAACTCAGTCCCTTTGCTCAGTTTCCTCATTCTCTGTTTCGGGTGAGGTTCATATTACGAACATCTCTCTTTATCCTGCGTGACATCACGTTCACCATCGTCTTCACCCATTTCTTCATCCGACCTTACCTCAACTTTTCTACCTTGGCTTGCATCAGGGCGGGTGCGGGCTTCACAGGACGAGGCATTTTCCACATACACACACACGGAGGTACCTTTATACTCGGAAATCTACCGGCCAGTAATGCTGAAGCTAACTCCAAAGTCCTTCTGGGTGCAGGTCCCGCATGCTCTATGATTGCAGCATGCCATGAACGGCACTCCCCGGCTCCGGTCTGCTTTTCCGCAGACACCACAAACCGCTCCGAGATCTAGCAACTACAGTAACAATACTCCGTCTCGGCCTGGGCTGCACAATGGGGTAGTCCAGAAGTCGTCTGCGAAAGTCGCTACGAGCCCATCTGCTGCAAACCCGCCCCTAATACCAGCTAACGTTATCGACGCTCCATCGCAGCGACTTTACGTTGCGGCTTTCTACCTGGCCCTCAATACTTGGCGCGTGTACGAGTCCTGGACTGCATCTGACGATCTCGATTCGACCTGGCTGTTTCTCAAATGGGCGGCCGTCGATAGCGTCTTCCTTTTTGGCTTGCAGGCGCTGCGAATTCCCTGGTTAGAATGGGCTTTCCCTACAACACTAGCCATCTTCTTGATTCATGTTGCTGGAAACATTTTTCTCATGTTCCAAATCCCTGTATGCTTTTGACCTCACGCCGCGCACATCAACAGAGCCTCCACTGACATCCTTGTAGATTCCTGTGGGTGCTTGGGTTTCCGGGGCAATCAAACTAGCTTATGATCGGGAATTGTCTATATCAGAACGGAGTGTCAAACCGGGCGACATTATCCACAACGCGTCTCTTATATTGGGCAAGCAAATCGTCCATATACTACCGGAGGGGTGAGTTTCTGGATCTGAGATGACTTCGAGCTCGACTAACCGCGCTATGCCAGCTCTGCAATCCTAAATCCTGATCACATACCTCTCTGTATCGATACTCACAAAACTGCTATCGATCTACCTATACGTATTAATCAGACCGATCCAATCTTGATAGAGCTGTTACGCCTGGATTATGACACCGGTAGCAATGAAACCATCTCAATATCAGCAAAGCAGCTGAAACATATGAAGCGTCAAGCAGAAAAGTCTGTCCCGAAAACAGCGTCCAAGCTCCATCGTGATCTCATGTTCTCCGTCAAGCGACCCGGATTATATCGGCTGCAAAGAGTAGTAGATGAGTCAAATCTCGACGTTCATATGAGATCATCTGACGCTCTCGTTGCCTCGTGCCCTCGGGCAACGATCAAGAATTCCCCGATTCATAAATGCCGAGGAGAGCTTTCGAACCTGCTTTTGGTGGTCGAGGGCACTCCTCCCCTTAAAATCAAGTACAGCAGGCAGGTCAACAGGCTTGACCGGGGCTTTTCTTTCCAGAACATTCAGCCTGATCATCTGCGTTCGCCATTATTAGGCCAGCGGACAACCGGCACTCTCTTCAACGCGAAGGACTTCGACGTGACTTGGGCCCGCAGCCAAACCATTGAGGTTCCGTTGAACGAGTCTCTTAATGTTGGCGGCGAATGGACATATACGATCGAGGAAGTCCATGACGGTTCTGGCAACGTCGCGAATTATTCAATGCTCTTGGATATCGCTGACAGACTATCTACAAAATACCCTTCACAATGGCATGAATTCTCTGTTCATGAAAGGCCTCGACTTTCCTTGTCCGGCTGCAATGATCAGAGTTTCCTTGAAGTCGCACATGGGGCAAGCGTGGACCTACCCCTCAAGTATCACCAGTCAGGACAAGGATACGAGAACGACGGGCCCTTCTCTCTGGTCTACACATTCAATGGTGAGACTGAATCGAGTCTTGGAGAGTCTCCAAGCAAAATACGCCAGACATCTCTGAGGAATCTTGATCACAAGCCTCAGATCAAGGACCCAGGCTGGTACAGGCTGAATTCTCTTTCCAGTCAATATTGTACCGGAGAAGTGCTAGAGCCTTCATCTTGTTACCTACGCAACCCACCGGAGCCTGACGTGACCGTCAAGTATGAAAGAGTTTTCGACAACTGCGCAAATAACCCTATCGGTCTACTCGTTGACTTGGATTTGACTGGATCTCCGCCGTTCCGGCTTCGGTACGTCATCGAGCATGCGAAAGGCGTTGAAACCAGAGCACATACTATTGATGGTCTTCGCGCTCAACTTGACTTCACACCCTCAGAAGCCGGTCTGTATCGTTACCGCTTTCTAGACATTGCAGACACAGTCTATGGCTCCCAATCTCTTCAGGATAAGGTCCCTGTACTCGAGCAAGATGTGAAACCACCAGCCTCTGCACACTTCTTGGGGTCTAAGGCTGTGCGTAAAGCTTGTTTCGGCGAACCAGTATCTCTTGATGTTGCTTTCTTAGGCGAGGCCCCCTGGACACTGCAGTATGAAGTGGTCCACAATGGCAAGAAGACAAAGTACTCCTTGGAATCTGACAATGGAATATCTACTATTGTGACGGAAAGGCTCGTCAGCGGTGGAGAGTATTTGGTTCTGCTCACCAGTGTCAAAGATCGCTCGAATTGCAAGCGAACGCTCAAGGACAGCATCAGGATTGACGCACGTTCCAAACCTCCTCATGTGTCGTTTGGCGAGATAGAGAGAAGCAGAAAATACTCGGCCTTGCAGCGCTCCAGCGTCGATATTCCGATTCGCTTAAGCGGAGAACGTCCCTGGAACGTGAAGTACAGAAACTTGAACGCCAGCTCTGCTATTCTTGAAAAGACTTTTTGGCACCAGAATAGCTTCCTGCCCGTGACACAGGATGGAAAGTACGAACTTCTTGGTGTGGCCGACAGCTCGTGTCCTGGGTTTGTCGATCAGGGAGGCAGCACATTCGAGGTTTCTTGGATACCCCGTCCCCGAATCACACGCGTGGATGGCTCCCCTGTCGGGTCAGACGGTCTAATCACGAAACGAGAAGTTTGCCAGGGAGACGACGACAGCCTCGAAATTCGACTCTCTGGGCATGCCCCGTATAGCATCCAATACGAGCAACAACGAAAGCCTGCACGCGGTTCATCTTCTGTTCGCGTCCAAAACATACGAACTGCCCTTCATGCCGCTTCTGTGGAAATGGATACCTTAGAAGCCGGTTTGTATACTTACAAATTCACGGAGGTCGGCGACAACCTCTACGATCAGGATCCCGGAGTCAAACCCGTGGTAGTAACCCAAAAGGTGAACCCTCTCCCTTCCGCCCGGTTTGATTCGCCAGGCCGCATCTACGGGTTTTGCAAGGAAGATGTCAGCGGCGAGGAATTGATCCCTATCACTCTCGAGGGTGTCGCACCTTTCTCCCTTGAGATCTCTATCAAGCATCACACGAAAGCGAAACCGGAGATAGTATCGATTTCCAACATCAATGCGAACAGGCACCACCTCCCATTGCCACGACGTCACCTGGACCTTGGCCAACATGTTGTCAGCATTCGCAAAGTAACCGATGCACGTGGCTGCCAGCAAACTACCGAGTACGATGCCTCTTCAGTCAGAATTTCAGTGTCAGATGTTCCAACCATAATCCCACTGGAATCAAAATCAGACTACTGCGTGGGCGAACGACTCTCCTTCTCATTATCTGGCCATGCCCCGTTCGATATTTTCTATACATTCGATGGCGCTTCGAGAAAAGCCACCTCGAAGACCACAAATTTCCGTCGCATCGCAGAGAAACCAGGCATTTTCAGTGTCACCGCTGTAAGTGATGGTGCCAGTGGAAAGTGTAAAGCCCACAAGAGTATCACCAAAACAATTCACGAAATGCCAAGTGTGAGGATCAGCAAAGGGCAAGTGTCTGTTGTTGACATACACGAAGGAGGAGAAGCTGAACTCCAATTCGAGTTCTGGGGCACGCCACCGTTCGAGTTCACGTATGTCTCTCCCTTACTCAACCAACGTGATGCATTCAACTAATAGCCACTTAGATATGTACGAAGCTCAAATGCTCGGAAAGGAAAAAAATCCGAGATACTTGATGTGAAACATGATATCTCCCACGAGCATACGAAAATAATCAAAACATCAGACGAGGGCACGTATGAGGTGGTGGCGATTAAAGACAAGTATTGTTCTTTTTCATCCCAAATACCAGTTGGAAAACCGGAAAAGGTGACAGCCGGTGCATGAGTTGATGGATAGACGGACGGAGTGGCACGTAGTCCATAGATCAAAATAATACAATGAATCAAAACATTACCTTCAGTGCTGTCATTAGCATAGTGTTAACTCTCTGGATCACTTGAGTCTAGGTACTGAGATATAACTCGTATAAGTAACACAAAAGGCATGGCAGGATCGAACATGACTACGCCAAGTTCTTGTCTGTGCCTTGTAATTCAATGCTATCTATCATGAGGCTGCCCAACCTCGAGATTTCATTCAAGATAGCCGGGCGATTTATAACCACTTGTTCGTTGTCTTCTGCATCTTCCAACTTGGTGAGAGAAGTGGAGTAGGCCATTTTCAACGTCCAGCCTTTAGCTCGGAGAGCTTGAGGGTTCCATAAGCCTGCAACAACCCCGGGGTTCCCATCGCTGTGAAAGAAAAGAATATTTGGGCTGTAACACGCTCGCAAGTCATGAACAAAGGATTGGACGACTGCATGCCCACTAGCCTGGAGCTTCTCCCGTCTATCAGCAAGTTTGAATGTGGTCGCCGATGTAGTGATTTCATGCAGCAGCTTGGAACGAAGCTTGATGATGAAGTCGTAAGGCGCTAGGGATGTGCGGAACAGCTCTGCTGTATCGAATCCATACCCATGATCTCGTAGCATTGCCATAGAAGCCTTGGCCAAGGTGCACATGCGAGCCGCCACTACCTTAGAAGGCTTTTCGTATTGAGTCCATGTCACCCCATCGGGATCAAGATCGGAAGCCACAAACAGGCTGAGCGTGTTCATCGCCGGATCTATTTTTCGCCACGCAGAAAATCGAGTCTGTATAGCCTCCACTGTACTCTTGTCTAAGGCTCCAAAATCGACCATTAAAGCCTCTTGCTGCCAGTCCCACCGCGCAAGAAGCTGAAGAGTTCTCAAAAATCCAGTCATGATACTGGAAGGAGTGTCCCATGGATACGGCTGCGTGAAGACTCGAACAACCAGTAGTTCCACAGTTTCTTCTCGGATTTGCCCTGTAAGAAGGTGTTGACTGAACCAATGCTTGACAAGACGAATCGTGGGCGACAGAAGCGGGAAACGCGTGCATAGTGTACGAATTGCTTGTGTAAGCCGAGGGGCTTGGACAAATTGTCGCTTGTATTCAGACAGAGCGTAAGCGAGCTCTTGTCTCATGGAAGGATGGCTCCCTTTGTCCTTCAAATGACGTTCCAGGAGCATCTGCTCTCTATCGTGGTGGATTCTGAGGCGGAAGAGGACATTGGATGAATGAGTGATGTCAAGAAACGCATTGTTCAGAATTTTGCTTGAAACATCTTCAAGCCCTATTTTACATGAGTGCGCAGCCCCAGATGACTGTAAATAATCGCCTATTTTCACAAGAAAGGCTAGCTTTGTCATCTGTATGGCCACAAGGTCATCCGGCCAACGAGCAGAGCTTTCAAATTGGAGCACAATGTCCACGGGACCACAAAGCACATTAGGTGCACTTTGCAGACGAAGAGCAGTATATCGAAGAAGCGGATCAGCAGGTGCAAGATGTCTGGTCGTCAAGGGTACTCCATCCATGTCCTGGACAGACCGCTGCAAGGAATTGAAAGCGTCGTGTATTTTCTGGAAAGGGGGGCTGGAGTATGAGACAACACCGTCTCCGTTGTTGCGAAGTGTCTCGTCGAACTCATCACCGACAATTTTGATATCGAAATCGGTGTAATTGAAATGGCGTTTCAAAATATACGACAATATCTGATTTATGATAGAGGGCGCCGTTGCTAAGTCCAACCAGACCAAGCTCTCCCTGATGCTGCCATCTCTGAAACGCCTTAACTCAGCCTTCTCTCCCCAGAAGGACCGAAAAGACACAGCTTCATCTTTATGTTCTGCAGCTGGGCCATGATCCACCACACGTGTAGCATTCTCTGCATCTAGCACCAAGCCCACGGTTAAGTGCCCAGACGCCGTTCTGGAATTGTGCCGTGTGTCTACTGGCCATGGCTCCGTGGCGCAACCACGCAGGTGAACGAGCCCTGCTCTGTCGCCGAGTGCCCTGACCAACACTTCGTAAATCATGTTTTGGTTTTGAAGGTCTTGGAGACTGCTTGCGCTTGCTAAGGCTGGTAGCTCAATGAGCCGATCAAATCTCAGCAGTGGTTCGTTCGCTTTGAGGATAAATACTTTGTCGAAATTGTCATCGCGAGACTCGTTTAGCATTTTCACTGTCACGTCTGCTTCCCGGCGGAGGAAAGCGTAAGACCAAAGAGTCATTTTATAAAGGATATTCAATCCTCGCTTGCCATCGTACAGAACAGGGGAGCCGCCAGGGAATGATAAGTCGGCTGTGAACAATGCTAGTGGATTTGTCAAGTCTCTTCCGGCAAGAAATTGCAGTGTTGCCTTGAATAGTTGATAGCTGCTGTAAGATTTCAGGAGTACTGGCTTGCCATTTGGTCCGCCACCCTCAAGCAGTAGTGACATTAGAGCCGTCCACTCGAAGCCACCGAGCCCGCCAGATTGATATGATGACCCAAATCCGCGCTGTTGAAGCCACGCCCGACCCAAAATACACGCATCTTTGAATGATTCGCATCTGCGGGCATTGGAGTGAATATACTTGTGGTAGAGTGCTACCGTGGCCTCCGATCGAAGAGACGCATTATAGACCGGAGTAGCGCCATCAGAGATGGAGCTATCAGCTGCACCTTGACGTATGTTGTTCCTCGTGGGTATAGTTCGTGAAACAGGGAATAAACTCTCTTCGATGGCAGTGATGACACGAATTCGTATTTTAGAAGACATGTTTCCAGATCTGGTTGAAGTAATCGGCTCGAGAATTATGCAAGGTCGGAGGCTGTCTCCATCTTGAAATGCGAACTTGACATGCAAACCCAGGCCACCGGCCGCTTTGATTCCAGCGGCAATGGTGGCGATATAGTATGCCCGCTTTTGGAAAAATCGGTGATTGATATAGTCCTTTTCCTGGAAGATAGCGCTGGGCATGGTCACCGCCAAGTCTACCGTTAATGGATTGAAGCTCTTGGCCCCGGTTTGAAGTGATAGACTGCCCACCACATTGACATTCGTGGGTTTGGCATATGCGAATGGATATTTCGTTTCCCTGCCAGGCCGCGGTTCAGGAAAGGGCACCGTGATTCCATGTGTGCTACGCAGCTCTTTCTCTGCTTCCCATGCCGATTGGGGTTGTTTCTCTGGAATTTGTTCAATGATGCTCTTCAATTGATGAAGTGTATCCTGAAGTTTCGCGACATGCTTATCATAATTTGGCCTCAACTCAGACAATAGCTCGTCCATTTGCAGCTTGAAAAAGCTGGATTTATAGACGCCACTGGCGAGCGCAAACTCCGCCGTGACATTGTCCGTCCCTTGTCTCTTGCTGCTTACAGCAGGTATTTCACTGTTTTGAGTTGCTTTCATAGCCATGTTTTCGTGTGGTGATTTTTGGTGTAGGTTCATAGTAGGGCCATTCTTCTCTGAAATTTGAGCACCTGGCACAGCATGGTGACTAGAATGGCTCAACCGCCTGCGTTTAATTGAATGGGACGACATATTGAGCTGCAGGCCAGCACCGAAACTTGGATTGTTGTTCAGTAAAATTGATGAAGAAAGATTAATGTGAGTAGAGAGCGGGTCCTTGAAGAGAAGGTGCGAGTCAAACTATATCAGAAGCTGTACCATGCTGACTGTAAGTCTTAGCTGTACCACTATGGCTTAAGAGCTTATAGTGAAAAGCCTTCTGTATCCTCAACGGGGAGAAAAAAAAAGATTTAGTCTTGTCAGCGGGATAAGCCACCCGCGGTATTTCACCGCCTTCTAGTTCTGAGCCTCCGCCACGGGCATACTTGGACTTCATGTGCTGTGGTGGATCAAGCCTACAATTTACACATGGACTGTACATGACTAACGATTTTTTTGAGACTGTCAATATTATGATAGACTATTCCTAGATGAGTTAGTACATGGGACTTGTGCGTGCACAGATTTATACATATGTCCTATATATATAATGTAATCGGTAAGTGAGCGGGCAGTATAAGCAAGCAGGCAGCTGTGCGCGTTAATACAGACTTCTATAAAAAGATAAAGCAATTATTATCCACTATATATATAAAATTTTGTATTTATATAGTGTTTTAATATATAAGGCATCTTGTTTTTATATAGCTAAGTATATTATATTTACTATAGTAAGGTGGTGCCCGGCAGTAAGGCTGTTTATTACCCGCAGCTGTTTCTATCAGTTAAATACTATTTACTTAATTAGTCTTATAAGCCTGTATAAATATATTTATAGCCTTACCAACAGTAAAGCTATTAAGGCCTACTATCTAGTAATATAATTTTTTTTTAATATTTTATTTCTCTAGTCCAGCTTATAATTTATTAATTTTTTTTTTAAGTAAAGTAGTCTGGTTAAAGGCGATTTTACAGCCCTTTATAATATAGGCCAAGGCTGCTTTTATTTATAAAAAAAAACTAATTATATATTTATAAAAATATTTTTTAATTGTTGTTTTATACTTTTTTAACTGCCTTATATTTTTAGGTATTTTTAGTAGTATTAATATAGTAGTAATACTATTTATTAAAGTAGCCTTCTGTAGTTGTAAAATAAGCTAACTAAGTATTTTATTTAGCTAAAATAAAACTAATTTTAAAGTTTTAAAGGTACTTTGTATAGTTAAAGTTTTAAAGACAAAAGAATATACCTTTAGATATATATTTAAAAAATTAACCTTATTAATATAATAAATATTTTAGTAAGTTAGCTGTTCTACTAAACTGCTATAAGCTTATTTTAACAGTATAAAGTAAACTATATTAAGCAGCTAACAAAAATATAAAAAATATAAAAAATATAAAAATATATAAATAAAAATAATACTATTTTAACTGCAGATATTATTAAATTCTAAAGTTAAATAAGAATTATATTTATTAAAAATTAAAAGGCTATATTGCCCAGTCTGCTGGTTCTTAGTAGCCGAAATAAAGTATTTATAAAGCTAATATAATCTAATTTTATTAAAAGTCCAGCTGTTTAGTGATAAGTTAATATACTAATTATATAAAATACAGTTTTAAAGC